ACATCCAATATTATTAAAGTATCAACGAGATTTCTCATTTACAAACTCCCAAAAAGCACACACACTTGACAATCCATAATCCTAACCATGAACTCAAAATTATGACCAATAAGTTTACTAACTTTCATTAACTTTATTTATCTCTCATTAGCTTAAATATCAACAATCATAACACCCAACAATCCTAATTTCTCTCCTTTAAGCAAACTCAAAACCTTACTTCTAAGAATGATATGGGTAGGGCGCTATCTATTAGGCAAGGTAGCCCGAATGTGCATAGCCCATTATGCCCAACTTGAAATGATAAGGCTTCTTATGGGCTGCATTTTGCAGCTTGTGCACCCTTAGGTTGGGGCCCAACCCAGCCTGTATGCACCTCTACTCCTTATAGTTCTTTTCCATCTACTTCTATATATTCAATTTTATCATCGGGCAAAAAAAAAAGGTAATGGGTCTCCTCTATTTCCTCATAGGCTTTTACAAATTAAATAGCCAGGGTATATTTGGTAATGGCTAGTAAGTGTTGCATTATATTGTTAAAAAAGTATTTTGTTTCTTTCAATTATAATACACTTTTAAATAAAATTACACACACCACCCCAAATAAATCTCATTAAATATACTTTACAACCTTATTTTTTTCAAATAAAAATATAAACTTTAAAAAAATATCCTTAAACTAATACTCCATTTACATGGAAAGAGTGATATTAAAAAAATATCATTAATGAAACCTTTTGTTTAATAGAAATAAAAACCTTATTTTTTCAAAATGTCTTATATTTTAGGACGTTGAATTTTTTTTCTTACAATTGAAATGGAAGTTTATATTTAGATGGGAGAGATAATTATGTGAGTTGTAGCTCCCCATCCATTTTGTCTCAAGATAATATTATTGAATAAAAAATGCCTTGGCTAAGGGCTCAGCCTGGATTTCAAGCAACTGCATAAATATGTATATAACTAGCTTGCTATTAATAAATTTATAAAAAACACTATATTGATTACAAGTCATCAATATTAATCGGCACATATAATCAGTACATATAGTACTGTTACGGTCCTAAACAGTTTTTCAAAATCTATATTTGGCAAGGACAAAATCCACATCACAATCTGTAGCTGTGGGAACATCATATCCCTCGCTAATTTTCACTTGCCAACGAATCAGGTCTAGCTCTTTGCTACGAGAATGCTAAACGATTCTATTACCAGAAATCATTAAATACAATAAGCCTAGAAAGACTGTATCTAAATTTTAAAAAAAAAAAAAGCCTAGAAAGACTACTAAATAAATCAAACTAACAAAATGGACACCTAAGATGCAAAACTGAGATATATTACAAGCCTTCTTCTTTTTCTCTCCGCCACAAATACTTACACATTCCGGAAACTTATTTTCCTCTGCTGCGTTCCATTCCTTTTGAGCAATATGGCTCCGACGGAAAATGATCAAAAAGGTCACCATTATTCGCCGCTGCCTCAATCTGAATTAGATCAAGCTCGGACTCGTGACGACGATGGTGATCAAGATCAACCTCTGTCGACGTCAGCCATCGACATCGATTCTTCAGACAATGAAATAGGGAATTATGAGAATGGCGGGGTTGAACCGCAAAACGAGAAAGGTCAGGATGTTAGGTTTTCGCCTTTGCCTGAATATTCAGAACCAGACCATGGTGAATCCAGCAGTGAAGATCGAGATCCGCCCTTATCCATTTCTGTCGAACATACGAGGCCCACCACTAATTATTATTCCGACGAAATACACAATCACGTCAAAACTAATGGCAACACAGAAACGGCTCAAGACCTTCTAGGCCTGACTGTACTGCTTATGCTAATCTTTTCGCCTCTCTACAAGCGCATGGAATCGCCCGCGGGGGATCCAATTCCTCCTCTTTTCACCCTCAACTCTATGTATGTTTCAAACTTCACCACTGAACATGGGATCCTGACCGCCACCTGGGACGCCAAGTTGACCGTGGTGAATGCTAACGTGTCGTCGATCTATTTCAGATATACAGACTTCATCATATTCTACAATGACAATCCAGAAGATGCTCTTTCAGGCGTATCGTTGAACCCATTCTACTTGGACGAGGGAGATGCGGTGAAACTGCACTTGAAGTTCACCACGAGCGGGGGCGCGTGGGACGAGAAGGAGCCGCGAGTGGAGAGTTGGTTGGTGGAGCAGATAGGGAAAGATAGGGCGAGAGACGGGTCTCTGAACCTGGGAATGCAGATGAACACGGAGGCCATTTACTATGGGGAGACTTGGGTTTCTGATGTGGAGATGAGTCCTCATTGCGAGGGATTGAGGGTTCAGTTTTTGCCCAACCAGGGTTCCGGAAGGTTAACCCTGACTGATAGGAACTTCTCGGTTCCCATAGGATGGAAGCCTTTCTCTTTGTTTTAATTTGTTCATTAATTGCACAGTCAACACTTATGCTGAATAGCAAAGGCTGAAAGTGCAGACTATCTGTGCACAATAATGGTTTGGGACTTGGGGGGTGTAAATATATCTGTTAGACGCACTTCATGAGTCATGATGAGCATATATAACATAACACGAGCTTACTGTTTGTAAATGTCTGTCATGGTTAGTTAACTTTCACTGATGATTTGCTAGGGACAGATGTTTGACAGTCGAGATTAATTTCTTCCAGCGTTTTTGTGTGATTCTTAATTATCCATCAAGAAAACAGAATTGAAAAAAACCAAATAAGAGATTTTTCAATGGTAGCATACTCGAGTTATCTTGCAAATTAAACTTGAATTAGCAGCCTGAGCTCTAATTTTCCGTTCAGGAATAATATATTCATTTTTGAGCATTTTATAATAATTTATAAGGAACTGTGCGCTATTGTTAAATTGATATGATGAAATCCAGCTGTTTGTAGCGACTAGAATAACGAGTTTTCAAGGCTAACTGATGTTTTCACATGTTGCTGGAGTTTATGATATCCTTCATATCTATTGTAATTGAGTAAGATATAGACCCCTAAAAAGGAAATGAATCATCAAATATTTGCTCACCATTTTGGAGTCACGCTCGCGGCGCATGCAAGAGTACCGTACCCCTTAAAAATTGAATTTGTGAACTTCTGTAACCATACGTTTGCATTGAATGAGTAATTTAACATTGAAGTTAGTCATAGAGTGCAGGCTGAGACCATGCTCCACACACAGATCATGGTAGACTCCTGAGAAGTTTCCATCAATTCTGGCACAGACAATGATTGGCAAGTTTGTTTTCACCCTTACGCATATATATATATATATATATATAGAGAGAGAGAGAGAGAATAACACATGCGCCGTTTGGCTCGCCAATTATTAATAAGCAGTTTCCACCATGGGAGCTCTTTCAAAGTGTCTTTGCTAATCTTCATAAAGGACACCATGGGAGCAGGGCGGAGCCAAAAAATTTTACTAGAGGGCTAGGATAGCAAAGCATATATATTAATTGAAGTGAAGTTTTGTATATATACATATATATATATATATATATATACAGATACACACACATATATTACTAATATAACATAAATATTTTAATGTATATATTTATATTTAATATTAGAAATATATAACAAAAGTACATATATACATTTATTTTTTATGATTTATTCTTCAATTTTTTATGGCATAGAAATAATTAATTCTTATGTCTACGATAAACTTTCAGCAATTTCCTTCTTAATATAAACCATCATTACATTGGTAAAAATTTTATCTTTCCTATGGGCATTGACTAATCTAAATACATAGTTGAGATTTAAAATTCTATTTAATCTAAGAAGCTTTATTACTTACTTACTGAATTTATTATTTAATTCTTTTAATTAATAATTACAGTAAATAAATATATCAATATGATAATGATGTTTAATTGTCACAAATTCTTTATATTGACGAGATCTAATTATATTATAGTAAAAATCATTCATATAATTATGCATAAAAAATCATTTATATAATAAATTTCAATAACTTGGTTAGCACATACCTTAATCATAACTCTTAACTTTTGGATGAGTAATTTTATGTTAGATATTATTCACATATCATTCAATATATATTAAAATTTTTGTTGCAATACTTAACAAAGTTTATTGATAATAATTCTCATAACTTCTTTAATCGAATATATAAAATGAAAGCAAAATCAAAAAATATCAATGTTTTAATAGCAATTATAGTATTATCTTATTAAAAATAAATAAATTTTATAATAATTATATTTTTAAACTATTAAAACAATTGAATTATACATAACATGCTAGGTTAGAAATATGTAACTTTTATATTTTATTAAGAAAAAATTAAAAAATTAGGAAGAGATTGCGACACTTGCTCATCCCCCCGTCTCCGCCCCCTACAGGAAGATCTACATTTAGCATACGTGTAACTAGCATCACTCCTATCCTATTATCGAATTATCAACAAAAAAGGACCTTATGTTTTATTTTGTAAATTAACTAGCTTAATAAAATATATACCAAATGAGTCGACAAGTTATACACATGATGATCGGAATTATCTTCCGAGTAAACACCAATCACTTGGGAAAATGGTTTTAGATATAAATTATAACTAGTTAACAAAGTATTAATTGTAACCTTTTAGGGAAGTTTGTCTTTTGATAGGAATTTTCAAAATCAAATGTGAACTTGGTTATAGTCTAAACCTAAAAATAGGAAAGCTTTCGCCAACTAGTAGTTTTTTTCTGGCCATATTTCATGAAGTTGTTTAGGAAATGCACCAGGAATCGAGACACAGCAGTAGATAAATATTCTTGGCGAGCGAATGCAACGGCAATTAAAATCTACGCTCTTCACGCGCGTGCCCGCCCGTCTATTTTTTCTGATCCTCCTCTCCACCCTGTTTCAGTATTTTGTGAGATTTTTTTGCCTTCTTGAATCTTGATTCCATCCTCGAGACCTGCCTCTCTCTCTATCCCCCCGAAAGAGAGAGAATCAAGAAATTAAACCGTCATGACTCCAGAAAGCCATGAAGGAGATTCCCCAAAGCCGAAAAAAGAGTCTCAGGCGGCGGCGGAGACATCGCAGTTTCCACCGTCGCATGGCTCCCAATCCCCTTACCCGCCGCCGCAGGTGACGTATTACCCGCCTCCGATGGGTTATCCTCCAGGCCAGGGCCCCTTCGGCTACCCCCCACCTGGTGGATACCCTTACGCCGCTCAACCACCGCCTCCTATGTACAACGCCTCGCCCTATGGAGCTCATAATAATAATAATCGCTCCAGCGGCTCTGCCTGCTTTCGCTCCTTTGTATTGTTCATCTTAATGCTCATTTTGTGGTATTTTGTGCTAGTCATCATAGCCTCCTCCAGTTATGATCATGATCCCTTTTACACCGTGGACTCCTTCTCGGTTTCCAATTTCAGCACTTCCAATTCGGCGTTGACATGCATTTGGGACACCAAGATCAACGTAACCAACCCGAGTTCCGATAACAACGTCAGTTTCACGGATTTTACGGTGCACGTCTATTACAATGATGAGGAGCTAATTGAGAGTCCAGGGAAGTCGTTGGACGTGGGACAAGACCAAATCGGACAATTGGAAATGAGCGCCAACTATAATTCTGGGGTTCAACCGCAGATACCGGGCTCGACGGTGGATGCGATGACCAAGGATCGAGACACCGGGTGGCTCAAGTTTTCGTTGGTGTTAACCGCAAAAGCCACTCGCAATTACCAGTCTACTTTCTTCGTGTGGACGCTCAAGCAAACGATTGCAGCCCAATGCAGAGATTTGAATGTTCGTTTTGTGAATGGTACTGGTAACGCCACCTTCAACGACGAAGGAGATCATGTTCGATGCCTCATGGTTCTGCATTATTGATCGCTGTCTAGTTCCTGTACATGTTCGCATCTCCTCCCTTTGTCTTAGTTTAATTCATTAATTTAATCAATTTTACCCTTTCCTCTCAAAACTGTAGATATTTCCGACCTAAAAAATGCTTGTAGACTTTTTAATTAAAAAAAAAAAAGCTTGTAGATGTATTTATATTTTTTATGTATATTTCTTACACAATTAACTGACCTTCGATATCTTTTTATCTGAATTAAATCCAAAATATGATAAATATATAATTTTTAATAATACGCTCTTTCAATTCAAAAATGAAAGAACATATCAGCATAATTAAGGATTTAGATACTGTCCATTCCCTTATCAAATACTTCCTTCCATGTTCAATCTCATACATCCATTTAATTATATTATTCATTATTCATTAGGTTTAATGATATTAAATTCTTAATTATAATTTTAAAATAAATATATTATTCATTTAATAATTATCATAAATAACTATCATGAACTTATTTTTAAAAGCATTTATGGTATTATAGTAAATAATTTACTTATTTATTTTAATGTTATAATTAATTATCTTATACCATTAAATTATAAAAAAATAATTCAATAGAAGGATGAAATTAAATATGAAAAGATGTATTAAAAGATGGTATATGAAGAGAATCCAAATCTATTAGCAAAGTGATATATGAAAGGATATAACTCTACATTTTAAGGTCAACTTGCATCATCAAAAATATCTACACGCCAATTTGCATGATAAATATCAAATGATTAAATTAGCAATTCATGTTAAGAAGAGGAAGAAGATCTTTTTAAAAAAAATAATAATAACGAAAGAGTACTAGAAAAGGGAAGAATTCCAAATGTCTTTTTGTCCGGCTGTCCGTCAACGGTCAACCTTGTTTCCCCGGCTACCTGGTCCCTGCCTTCCGACTTCGGAGTCGTGTCGGCCTCCGTCACCTCATTAACATTAATGGAAAATCAATTTCATCATCTGAAGCCCTGACCACTAACTACCCATCCCTTACAATGCCTTTGATGCGGGGGTTTGAAATGCTGAGAATCACGGACTCCCCTCCCACCTTTTGTGGGAGGAAATTAGGGGCATGTGGATAATGATATAGTCTTGCTGGACGAGCGCTTCGACCCGTCAGATTGAGGACCACAATGCTGGCTTGGTTAGATAATGTATTTAAATGTGGTATAGTACGCAGAGGGAGGAGCATCGGTCGACGATTGACTGCGCCTGGATAAGCATTAGGTTTTCTTCCAACAACGGGACTGCCGCTTTAATGGGTACTTCGAACTTCCAAGCCTTGGTTTAATCTGTGTGAGTATTGCACACAAGCACGTTGGTGGATTACAATGTTCATCCTTGTTAATTAATCTGATCAAAGGAACAAAATGTATCCATTGGAATGCTAATTTTGTGTCTGCATTTTGTGGCATGCGCAGTTTATGCTCAATCTTCTGCCCCTTACATATACCGCTTACCCGAATGAGGAACTTGCATTCTTAACTCAAGTTTGCTGTTTCTGTGGACCGTGGGCGAATTGAGTGAACCAGGGACTTGTTCTGAACCATACGCTCTCACTTGTTCAGGTGCCACTTTGGCAATCGTGGTAAGCAGCAGCATTTGACTATTACTAAATGCACACTTAAATATGTTCTCTGTATAATGTCTGATAGATTGGAACTCGTTTATTTTGCCTTGATGCCGCCCTATTTCCTACTCACCACCATAATAAATACTACTACAGGATGGGGATTCCCTCTTGTGTTGTTTGCTTTTGTTATTCTTAAGAACCTAATATCAAGTGTTTACTGTTATTAAGAAGGAAGGAAAGATGCTCCTAGATAGGAGGATCCGTGTAGCATTTTATTGGAACTCGTTTATTTTGCCTTGATGCCGCCCTATTTCCTACTCACCACCATAATAAATACTACTACAGGATGTGGATTCCCTCTCGTGGTGTTTGCTTTTGTTATTCTTAAGAACCTGATATCAAGTGTTTACTGTTATTAAGAAGGAAGGAAAGATGCCGCTAAATTGGAGGATGCATGTAGCATTTTCTCGGTTAAATTTTAAAACTCAAATGAAAAAGGAGGATTTTGATACTTGAACATATCAATCTAGATGTCACAATTCTAGTGAGAGTAACGTGATTGCATTTGCTTTATGATCAATTGAATTCTGATTTATAATTTTCTTTCTTCTCTGTTTTTTTAATTTGTGTATAAGCTATTCTTGATGCTTCATGTTGGAATTAGTATTGAATCTGTGGTTGTAACTGGAAAAGTTGATGTGTCACGTTGACATGAGATCCATTCTGTCCTTTTAGTAATTTGATTGTGAATTTTTCGCTCCAATAGAGAATTTAGATGAAATAAACTGATCAAAAAATTGGGTTTGTTATTATTTGAGCTAGATGGTAATAATTATTCTCTCTTCCAGTTAATTGATTGGACTTCTAGCACTTATGTTGTCAACTTACTAAGAATTCCTGGTGCGCCAATCTAACTGTTGTATCAGTGTTGTTTGCTTATTTAGTTATCTTCAATAGATAGTTGATAGATGCCACCTGTACCATGTCCCAAGTTCATGCCATGTTTTGTCGATTTTGGCTTTTAGATCTTAAAAATGCTTTTAGATTCTTAAGAATTGATGGCATGTTAATTGGATAGAATCAGTTATACTAAACCGTAATTTCTTCATCTGTCAGTCTCACATTACGTTTCCTGCTTTTTTTAATTTGTATCTAGCACTAGCATGTTTTAAAATCTCCAGAGGACCAATAATTTAACTGTTAGCATCCTTTGTTAAGAATTGCTGTCTTATTCTTCAGTTGCACGGGTCTTCTTACAATATAAATGTCTATGAAAGTGAACTTTCTTTCCTTACTAGCTCTGCTTGATTTAACGAACTGAACTATGGTCTGTAGAAACTCAAGATGGAGTTGATGCTACTAGTGCAATCTTTATGTGTACTGTCTTTGATATTTGAATGAAGCCACTGGCTCACTGCAATCTAACGCTCCTTGGCTGAGTTAATGATGATTTAGGTTGATTGAGACAGAGCATATCTCTGGCCAAAAAATAAAAAAGACACAGCATATCAATAGCCTCGTTGAGGGTGTTTTTTCAAAGTTTAAGACTTTAATAAATGTTATGATCCTCAAGTGATGTGGGAAGATTAGGGTTGTAAAAGAGGTTCAAGATTAAATACTCTGGTTATTAGTATCTTAAACTATTAAAGATTTCTGCTTAAACAAAGATAACTGTTTAATTTGGTTTTGCTGCCCATTATGAAGCTCAAATTTGATTAGTCTTGTTGGAAGAGAAACTGCTTCTTTAAAAATTAATCTGTCTTATGATGCACGGATTTCATAGATATTTGGGCATGCATATGGTGACTCGCATCAAAATATGAACTGCATTTACTTTCATTATTTCTTTTTTTTTTTTTTAATAATGCGCAAGATGCACTTGAATTGGTAAGGTGGTCTTAAGGTTGTTTAACTTACTCTAGGAGGTCATATGACCACATGTCTGTGTAACTAAAAGGCACGCAGCATTTAACCTGTGGAAAGTATATATTTAGTAAACAAGGAACTAAAGGAAAAAAGGAAAGGAGAACCGTGGTTGATGAATTCATAATGTTGTTCTTTCCAAAAGTGAAATGAATCACATATTTTAGTACGCATATAATAGGATATTGAATTGGCATATTTAGTTTTGAGTTTTGACAATGTTTTACGATCAGAGTAGTTAAGCTCATGAATAATATTGGTTCTTGGCCCCTTGATATCACCTCGTGGCTATAATGTTTAGTTTCACTGGAATCCTCTTGTCCAGGAACTAAGTGCTCACATTTTTTTGGCAACTCTGATTTAAAATAAATGGGAATTACTGCATGGAGAAGTTCCCATGCACAACATATTCAAGTATTAATTGAAGAAAATTATTCTCTTCTAGCATTAACTTCCATTGTTTACCATTGGACCCAGGTTCTCTTGTAACTTAACTACTTGAGGACAGTCAGTTCAGTTATTGTGATTTAATGGGGTGGAAAATTGTATCCAATTTAGTGAATAATTAATTAAATAAAGAAAAAGGAAAGGAGAACCGTGTCTGATGAATTCCGCATGTTGTTTCCAAAAGCAAAATAAATCACATATTTTGGTAAGAATTCTCTAGCTGGGGAACTAGAATTTAGTGAATAATTAATTAATGCACTTGAATTGGTAAGGTGTTCGTGTGTGTCTGTGTGTGTGTGTGTGTGTGTAGCATCATTGATTTGAAAAATAAAAGGGGAATTCCTAAAAGCAGAAATTTCCATGCATGATATGATTAAGCATTAATTTAATAAAATCAATCTCTTCTAGCATAAAGTTGATACCTCTGTTGTTTATAGTCACATTGAAGTGAGGCTCTCTAGTATACATGAGGGTTATAACTTACAGGTTCAATTAGTTTAGCATTTCAGTTAATATCATTGGGGTGACTTTTAGTAATTTAATGGTGTGGCAACATTGTTTTAGGATAATGAGGATTAGGATTTTGACAATCTTAGATATGACGTTAAGAATATACGAGCCAGGTACGTATGTGAGAAAGAGGTGCTTTATTTCCACCATAGACAATATGGCAATTTTTTCTGATCATGAGAAATAAACTACTGTGTGTTGCTAGTTGGAGAAAAGGTCAACATCGAGCCATTAAGACCCTTTTTTTAATCGTTTGGTTCTTAGAATCCATATGGCTGTATTGAACTATCTGGCTGCCACTTAAAATCACGTTTTATAGGTGTGGAAGACAAAGTAATTGATGGCCGTCTGTCTTAAAGGTTTAGCAGCATTGGTTAAGGAGTTACATGGTCCTTTTCTATGAAACTGCACATTCTTTGTCCATAAACTTGAAAAATCCAGGCTAACCTGTTTAGCAACGTCTTGATGTCTTGTGAGCAAAAGTGGTATATGGTGTAGTTGACCAAGGGGTGATAATCTTGAAACTTGAATCTTCAGATAAGATCGATGGATTGAAAATTTGGGTTGTGGGAAACTCTAAACTTGTATCTGATTGAATTGTTTACCTATTTCCTTTTTGTTTTCCCCAGTAGCTTGGACATTGATAGATGGAGTGTGTGATTTTAATAATCGTTATTCTGTTTTTTATCTCAAGGCAATGAAGTTCGCGTACCTCTGGATATGTTATCTAGGGCTTTATGAAAATGGGAAATCTTTGTCAATTCTGATTACTGGAAGTTGAAGAACTTCTTCAGACTCTTTACCTTTTGTCTTCTTTGCTCCAAGGAGTCGCTCTCGTTAACATGCATGAATAACATAATATATTAATATGTGTACTTTACATTTCAGAACCGCTTCAAGGCATCTGTCTAGGAACATGATGTTATTGGAGAAGATAAGAACAACAAATCCAGGGAAGGACAGGAGAAATGCAATAATTGGCATTGTCACCAGATCATTATATGATTCATACAGAACACATGACAGTGTTCCATAGTATGCATATTTCCTTCCTAATAGCGAGGCATGCATTCAGGTATTAATATAACATCCAATGTATCGGCCCTCTGGGCTCTCGTTTTCCTGCATATTCTCTCCTCTCACGTCTGAATTAATTCACTTTGCTTGAAGATCTTGGTAATTATCTTAGGAAAACCTTACAAACTTGACATGTATTGGGTGAGATTCGGTTCATCAAATCTGAGGTTAAGCACGCATCGACATTCCCAATAAGGCAATAACTCTTGCGCATGAAGATGAATCAAATAGATCCGTGCTAAGTACTCGTGGCACATGATAACACATGCTATGACTTTTTCTCTGGTTGAGAAGATGGGCACCATGGGGTCAGAGTGTTGAGCGCCTCGATGTTCAAAAGCATTACTTTAGAGGCCTATGAATTGTTTGTAAGTGAAGGCACCTCGTTGATTACTTTGTTTCACAGGAAATTTGTTAGGTGATAGAAAGTGGACCACGACTAAAGTAATCGAGGCAGCTAATTATGAGATTGAGTTCACCCTTGGTCATGAATCTAATATGAGTTTATAACGATTTTGATTCTATAGTTGTTGAAGCTTATGATTATTTCCGATCAAATGGTTGATGAGATTATTTACATTTTTCATTGTTAATTCCTGCATCGTAGTACTGTGATTAGCAAGTGAACATGCCTGAGCAGATATTAGAAGATGTCTATCCTGCTAATAATGTTAGGTTTGGTATCTACCTGACCTCAGTGCTGCTTTTATGAGTTTAGCTCAATATGATTAATATAACTTGTAATCCTGCCAAACCCCTGTCTGCATCGCATTCATATATATGATTGACATTTCCTTCTAATTAATCACCCTTCATGGAAGGAGCAATTGTAAACCAGAAGTGGGGGGACCCAGAGAGTCAATTTATTACTTATCAATGCTTTTTTCCCCCTCTCTATGCATTACTTCTCTTTAGATAATTTCCGGTATCATTTTTGGAACTCCAAAATATTTATAATAAAAATATTCAATTCTAAATTAGAATAATTTTCATATTTTCATGGCTTCATAATATATTTGAATAAAATATCTTTCCTATAACTCATTCATTTTTATTTTTATTATGTGTAAATTGCGGACAAATTTATAACCATTTTGTATGTAATTAATTTATATGTGTGCGTGTGCCTGCGCAAAAAATATTGAATTAGAATCTAAATAAAAGAAAGAATTTTTTTTTTACTACCAAAGAACCGACAAATTTAAATTTAAAAACTAAGAATAAATGAAATCTTTATTTTATTATTTTTTAAAAATATTATTCGATTATTTTCACATTTTTTAACATAAAAAAGAAGGCAAAAAGCCGGTTTATTTTGACATTTTTTGTGCGTTAGAGACTAGAGAGTACTATAAAAAAATTCTAATTTATTTTTAGTCTTTACATGAAATTAACTTTTTAAATATGTAATTATTAAAAAAATTATTTAATTGTGTTTATGCTATGTTAGAACTTACATTATATTACAGTTTAGTGTTGTGCAACTTATTAATTTTATTGACAAAAATTGAAGAATAAAATTTATTATATATTGGGAATACTAAAGCAGCCGAGTTTTAAAAACAAGGAAATATCAAATATAATTCAATCAAATCTAATGGAATATGATTGACTCAAAATTTTTAAAACGACAAAAAATTAATAAATGTTGATGTCTCTTGGAGTTTGGTTAAAGTACAGTTACATCCACTCCTTCAAAAATGTTGTGAATTTTCTTTTAATATATTAGGAGGCTTTTTATCTGTAATAATCGGGTTATATCATGGTGAATTGATTGTATCCTTTTGTTTCAATCAAAATTCATCATGTTTTTGTCTGGTGTTAGTAGGTCAAGATGCTCTCAAAGATTGCTTATGCAGCTTATCATCTAAAATAAAAATCATTGGTGTATTGAATGACCAAGACAATAGAAACGAAAAGAAATCCCCCACCCGTTTCTTTCGTTATCAGCTACTCGATTCTTCTCACCTCTTGTTTTTTAGCCAAGTTCCTCTGCACCTTCTGAATCTTAGAATTTTTTTTCCCTCGACTATAACATTAGTACAAAAATGACTTTTTACAGCAGTTAAAAATGACTTTTTACAGCGGTTAATGAGACAATGTTGTTTCAGGGGATGTAGAAAGTCCCTCTTTTTACATCGGTTATAGAGCCGATGTTGAAAATTATATACAAAAAAATTAAAAAAAAATTACTTTAACTTTTTACACTGGTTCAGATCCCAACTGGTGTAAAAAGTGCACCTTTTAAAAGGTGCACTTTTTACACCGGTTGGGATCGGAACCGAGTAAAAGGTACACTTTTTACACCGGTTATTACCATAATCAGTGTAAAAAATATTATATTTTACAACGGTTGTGGTAATAACCGGTGTAAAAAGTATTTTATTTTTTTATATTATATTTATTTTATCAATTTTACCCATTCCTGTGCATAGAAATTGCCAAATCAGACAGCCCAATTAATTTACAATTTTTTATCAAGTATTTATCAACTATACAAAGCTATTTAACTATTAAAAAAACTAATAATTGTCTAAATTGTCAAAATTGCCATTCCTATGCATAAAAATTGCCAAATCAAACAGCTCAATTCATTTACAATTGTTTATCAAGTATTTATCAACTATACAAAACTATTTAACTATTAGAAAAACTAATAATTATTTAAATTGTGTCAACTATCAAAATTAAAACATGTCTAAAAGTAACAAAAAACCTCACAAGTTCTCCACAAAATAGGTTGCCCAACGTATGCAGATGTCTTCAATTTCAGCTTTAAAAAATGCATCCGAATTGTCAAACATCTAAAATTTGATTCATAAAGTAGGCATATTAATCAATCTCAAATAACATAATAAAATAAAATTTTTAAAAATATATATATTTACCTCTTTTGTAAATTCGGTCATGCCTAATGTGATAATATTGAGCATGTGCCTCATGACATATAGACCGCACAAGTTCGTCCTCACCGGTTGTCTATGACTCTATATAAGAACAAATCATAAAAAATTAGTAAGAAATCTTAATAGTTGATTAGATGGAACATCGTATGTGAGCTACAATGAAGACATAAGATAATAATCAATAATTGCCCAATAATATATAACTATAAAAAATTTTAATTTTTAATTATTTACCTGAATACTTTTCCAAATCTGTTCCTTCACACGTTTTGACACATCAGGCCAGTCCTCAAACACAATAGGAGGCTTGGTACGCGATAGGAGGCCAAGAAAACTAACAAACTTGGCTTTATGTGGCCCTATCAGATTCCATCTCCGGTCAAATTGAATTGGTAACCTACGCCCAGCACTCCTACTTAATGTCAGATCTCTTAATCGTGTGCCACGTCTCCCCCTCCTTACAGACTGGCTCTGACTCGGCTCCTCACTAGGGGTGCCCTGACTTAGCTCCCCACTAGGAGCAACATCACCAATTGATTGACTCTGAGTGTTATCACCTTAATTCTCCATATTCTTATTAATTCAAATAAATGAAATTAATTAAAAAATAATCAAAGATAAGATAATTAAGAAAAATAATCCCACAACATAAATTTAATTGAACTAAATTAACATACTTTAATTTCAAAACTAAACTCATATAGGGATATTCTCCCATATCCTTTCATGGTGATCACTTCTTATGGCATGTTCATCATCTACTTCATCTACCACATCCAAAATTGGTAGCCCACTTGAGAAGTTAAGAGTTTCAGAAATATCAAAATTTGATTCATGATCGTCATTACTATCAATCATCCTTTTTCCTTTAAGTGCTATTGATCAATTTTTATTTGCTGGATTCGTGACATAGAAAACTTGTTTAGCTTGGTCTGCCATAATAAATGGCTTATCTCCAAAAGTTAGTTTTTTAAGATCAACCATTGTAAATCCAAACTTATTATCACGAATACTATTGACATCAACTCACTTGCATTTGAAAACAGGAACTCTAAATTTTGTATAATCAACCTCCCAAATCTCTTCAATAACCCCAAAGTAAGTCCTAGATGCTAGTTTAGGTTTCATATCTTTTGAACTAGAAAAGTGTACGGCTTCAGCCATTATCATAACTCCACTATTTTGCACCGTACTCTTCTCATCCAAAGACTTTGTATAAAAAGAATACCCATTAATATCATAGGCACTCCAACATATAACATCAAAGTTAGGACCTCCAGCCAACCATTTAACTGTTTCAGAAACACCACTTTCATTCAAAATTTTCTGCTTGAACCAATTCACAAAAGTCCTATTATGCTCTTTCAATAACTTTTGTTCTGTCATTCTCATTCGATAATTTTTTGCCTTTAAAAGTTCTTTATGAGAAGATATGTAATCTTTAACTTCATCAATATTATTCAAGATATATAAATGTGCTTCTTGTAATTCATCATAATTCATGCTCTTCACTAATACTCCACGTGTGCCTTGACCATATTGCCTTTTCTCATGACGAGATTTAGGAAGTCCAATTGATTCTGTACTTGACAAGTAATCAGAACAAAACTCCATAGCTTCTTCAGCAACATATTTCTCAACTATTGATGCTTCGGGTCAAAATGGATTTCTGACATACCCTTTCAGTATTTTCATGTATCTCTCAACTGGGTACATCCATCACAAATAAACAGGGCCACACAATTTTACCTCCCTTACTAGATGCACTATTAAGTGAACCATAATGTCAAAAAATGTAGGAAGAAAGTGCATCTCAAGTTGGCACAAGATAGTACAAGCTTCTTGTTCTAACTCTTTCAGTTTACAGGGATCAATAACTTTACTGCATGTAGCATTGAAAAAAAAACAAAGTCTAGTTATTGTAAGTCTTAAATCTTTTTTCAATATGCCTCGAATAGCCAAAGGTAATAGCTATTGCATTAAGACATGGCAATCATGAGATTTTAAGCCTACCAGTTTCAACTCTTTCACAGATACAAGCTTCATAATATTTGAAGAATATCCCGAAGGAACTTTGATTCCATGTAAACACTCACAAAAACTTGTTTTCTCATATTTGCACAATGTATGAGAGGCTGGGGGACAATAAGTTCGTTTACCTTCTGGTCTTGGGTGTAAGTCTTCCCGTATTCCCATTTCTTTCAAATCCAATCTTGCATTCACACCATCCTTAGTCTTACTTGGTATGTTCAGAAGCGTTCCAATAATACTATCACACACATTTTTCTCCACATGCATAACATCAATACAATGCCTTACTTCAAGATTGCGCCAATATAGGAAGTCAAAAAAGATAGACATTTTTTTTCATATGCTTTTTGCACCAGTATTCTTTTTAGTCTTACCGAAGACAATATTAATGTTTTTCACACGTTCATATACTTGATCCCCAGTCAAAGCATCCGGAGCATCATTATGTTCTTGGTGACCATGAAAAGCTTTCTTCAATCTACGATATGGGTGATCTCATCTAAGAAACCTTCGATGGCCAAGGTAGACTGTCTTCCTTCCATTTTGAAGTTGATGGTAGTTTGTGCTTTCTTCATAAATTGGACAAGCTTTATGACCTTTCACGCTATAACCAGACAAATTTCCATATGCAGGAAAATCATTTATAGTACAAAAGATCATAGCACGTAACTTAAAATTCTCCTTCTGATTTGCATCAAACACTTCCACACCTACCTCCCACAACACTTTCAAATCTTCAATCAGAGGTCTTAGGTAAATATCAATATCATTTCCTGATTGTTTTGGTCCCGAAATCAACATGGATAGCATCATGTACTTCCATTTCATGCACAACCTAGGTGATAGATTGTAAATCACCAAAAGAATAGGCCATGAACTATGTATACTACTAAGACTACCATAAGGATTCATTCCATCGGTAGAAAGTCCAAGCCTCAAGTTCCTTGGCTCATTACCAAATTCGGGAAATAATTGATCAATTTTCTTCCATTGAGGAGAATCGGCTGGATGTCAAAGTTTTCTATCAGATATCCTCTCATTTGCATGCCACATCAAGTTCTTTGCATCATTAGTATTTGCAAACAAACGCTTGAACCTTGGTATAATTAGAAGATACCATAAGACTTTTGTAGGAGCCCCCTTCTCTTTGTACCGTGGTACCTCACATTTCGGACACTTCTCCTCCCCTTCAAGCTCTTTTCTGTACAACACACAATCATTAGGACATGCGTGTATTTTTTTATACTTCATACCCATTGGACACAAGATCTTCTTGGCATCATAATAACGATTTGGTAGTACATTGCCCTTCGAAAACATTATTTGAAGTAACTCTAACAACCATGTGAAACTTTGATCACTCCACCCAACTCTTGCCTTTAAGGTAACTAGTTTTAACACCCCAGATAACAAACTAAAATTAGTGTACAAGTTATCATACACATGTGCTCATTCAAAAGCCTCTTCCCCAACATCACAGATCATGTCCTCTAATCGATCTTCATTCATTTCTACTTCATCATCAAGATTATCAACTCCCACACATTGAGATGTGTTACTATAATTTTTCAATCGTTCACCATGCCAAATCCATATTGTATAATTTTTGCAAATCCCATCACAAACTAAGTGCTCTCTTATTTCAGCAACACCTAGTCTCCTCTCATTCAAACAATTAACACAAGGACAATAGAACCTTTCACTATTGTCAACAGCATTTTTCTTAGCAAATTCCAAAAATTCTTTCACCCCATTATCATACTTGTTACTCGTTCGTCTAACATTCATCCAACTACGATCCATATGTCACCTCCTAAAGAATATAACTAATGTTATTATCTTCAAACTATTTTAAGAAACTAAGCTCCTAATTAAATTAAGATTTGAAAAAATTTTGGCAGAATCTCCTCTAAAAATTGGATCTCTCAAGACTTTTAAAAAAAATTTACAAGAGAAAATTGATAATTTTAAATCAAATAAATGATCACATACAACAACCTGAGGCCTTATGAAGCCACTAACAGCACTTCCAGCAACAATCAATATCATTAAAAACTAAATTTAAAAAAATTAGAGGAAAGAATAAATTTAAAAAAAATTTCGACAGAGTCTTCCCTAAAAATTAGACTTCCCAAAAGTTTTAAAAAATTTTACACGAGAAAATTAACAATTTTAAACCAAATAAATGATCACATGCAACAACCTGAGGCTTTATGAAGCCACTAACAGCACTCCCAGTAACAATCAATATCATTAAAAATTAAATTTAAACATTATAAAATTTAAAAATTTATATTCAACACATACCTGGGTGGCGGCAGCTACAGCAACGGCTCAACACTGAGAGGGAGGGAAAAGGAGTGGTGGAGGGGGGCAAGAGGGAGGGAGAGGGGCAGGGGGCGGGAGAGTGAAGGGGTGGGCAAGGGGAGAGGGGGAGGGGGAGTGGGCGGCGGGACGAGGGGGAGGGGGAAGGCCGAGGAAGGGGGAGTGGGAGGGGGATGGGCGGCCGAGGAAGGGGGAGTGGAAGGGGGAGGGGGCGGCGGGACAAGGGGGAGGGGGAGTGGGCGGCGAGGGGAGGAGGGGGAGCGGCAGGACGAGGGGGAGGGGGCTGGGCGGACCGAGGGGGAGGGGAGTGGGCGGCGAGGGGAGGAGGGGGAGGGGGCTCGGCGGATGGGTGGGAAGGCTGGGCAGACGGGGGGGAGGGGCCGGCGAGGGAGAAGACGAGGGGGAGGGGGAGTAGGCGGACGAAGGGGAGACGAGAGGGAGGGCGCGAGAAGGAGGAGAGGGAACTGATGAATGAAGGGAGGAAGAAATGAATTTAAAAAACACTTTTTACACCGGGTGTCCAGGCACCCGGTGTAAAAAGATGTAAAAAGTGACCTTTTTACACCGGGTGCCCCCACCCAGTGTAAAAACTATACTTTTTACACCAGGTTCCCCACCCGGTGTAAAAAGGACACTTTTTACAGTGGATGTCCAGGCACCCGGTGTAAAAACTATACTTTTTACACTGGGTAGGGGAACCCGGTGTAAAAAGATAACTTTTTACACCGGGTGCCTGGACACCCGGTGTAAAAGGTGTCACATAATTCAAGATAATTACAAAAATGTCACCACCTTTATTTTTTACACCATTTGCCTTCCAATCGATGTAAAAGTACCTCATAAATTTTATATTTTGTACTAGTGTAAATATCAGTAACATAATAAATACTAGATATTTTTATTTTGACATTGAAAAAAAAAAGAATCTATTTATGTCGATGCAACTAAACAGACTTACCTGCTAAGCCTTGAAGCCTTGTTGGTGTCTACTTTTTCATATCTCTTTTCACTTTGGCATCCTGTGCAAAGAAAACAAACCAGCAAAAAGAAACCCAGTCTTTTACTTTCAAATATGAAAAAGGGAAAAAGGTAAACCACCTCCTGCGTGGCTGTCGTCATCATATGGTATTTGATGCTCAGCACCTTGGTTGGTCCGTCTGCTGTAACTTCCAAGAGGTAGAAGGTTTAAAAAGATATAGATGCTTGACAAGATAACATTAAAAATGCTCCTTATTTTCATCAAGCGATGGATTGGTCAAATATATTATACAAACAACTCCTAACCATCAGGGAAAAGGAGAGAGTAAAATGAAAAGGGTAGGTGAATTAAGTGGGAGTTCAGGTTAAAGTTGAGGAATTTTGGGTGGTTCGATCGAAGCAGATGTTGTAGGGACCCTGACGAGTGGAATATGATGAAACAAATCACCTAAAAAGGAGGAGGAAGGCCCCTTGGGATCAGAATCATCCTCAATGTCAGTGCAAGTGCACCATCCCGCACCCTCTCCCTCCTCTGCCTCCATTATAGGCCCCAACCCACGCCCACGTCAGCTCTCATCAAGCACACTAGTTGGATCTGGATGATTGGTGGGTAAATAATAGAGGCCAACTGAAATCATCCACAGGGTTTTGGCTTATAACATTGACTTGTATTGGCTTCTTTAGTCAATGGCAATTGAGGCTTTAGCGGTGCCTATTTAAATATTAAACCCTATCATATCATTCCTTCCCACCGCCAGCTAAAATAGTAATGCATGGGGGACCAAAATGTCAAATCAATTTTTCGTTTGTTTGCTTTGCTAGAGGAATGCAAGTATGTGGCCATGAATCATCATCTTCAATATTATACTCTACAGCCACAAGATTTTTGTACTTTGTTAAATAAACCGCTGCGTCTCGATGGACTTCTTTTTTGTCAGGCCGGCTCCTAATTTTGACTGTAGAGCAAACCAAATTTTCAGGTCTAGGCTCTGAGAAATCAGACACTCTAGCCAAGCCCCCCCATCTTGAGAACTTGAAATACCGTATATTTCACATGATTTTTCCTTTTAATTATTCCTCCCCGATCCCATGCCTGTAAGGGCCAGGATGTTGCTTACGTTTTAATTCGACTCTGAACTTTCAACAAAAGAATAATTTAGGAAAGGAAAATAGCCGTTGAGATGGAGAGAGGGAAGTTAGGTGGGGTGTCAAGTGTCAAGAAATGAAAGCAATGTGGATAGGAGGCGATCAAGATGAGATGCCTCACGAGCGTTAATGCTTCATTGCGTGGAATAGTCAAATTCACTTTTGGATCACATATATTTCTCCTGTGTTATTAAGACTTGCATCGCACTTCACCTCATTCGCTTTTCACGCCGACGGCCCAAAAAAAATAATAAAAAAGAAAGAAAGAAAGCAAAATTTCCTTTTCACGCCAGATCCCTATCAGGATGCTGCTAAATTATGCATAAAGGCGCAATCATACTTCCGTTCTCTTCGAATATACATGTTATTGCTGGCCAAAAAAATACATGTTACTCACCTTTTAAAATACATATACCAAAATCCCAATCGCTTTTTTCCTGTTTTCTATTCCTTTCTGTTCCCTCTGATCTTCCAATGCAGGTGTCATTGTTCTTCAAAATCCGGAGCCATCTTGCACACTTTCTCCCTTAATCATCGCCAAGAAAAAAAAAATTGTTCTTAATGTTTATTATATGCGGACGTGAAGGTTCTGAGATTATTTATATGGTCCCACAAGCTGCTGTCAAATTTGGAAAGGACGAAGGAGATCGACAATTGATTAGTACTGTAACATGCTTGGGGATTTTTGTTCTGCGCATACGTGCCTCGAACAACATTATTATTCGCTAATCAATGACAACAATATATAGATCCTTTTCAAGAACTTCCGAAAACAGATATCAAATCATAAAAGCATGCTATATATCTGTCTGTTAGCAGTTAAACACTTGCCATCTATAATCTCTCTCAAGAGAACAGGTTCGTGCATCATAAGCAGTTCCACTCACCTGAAACATAACACTCCAACTAATTATTAACCGAAAATGCAATCAACTTTTCCGTTGAAACAAATTAAAGAAGAGAAAGGCAGCAACTTTCTGGGGCTCAATGGAGTTGCATGTGTGTATAAGGATGAGGGATTGATCCATTGATTCTCTTCCGTCTCTCAATCCCAGTAGCTTTATCTTGTGCTAGCAATTATATATGCTACCAAACCTTTTAAGATAAAGAAGAGAGGAGCAGAGAACGAGAAATAGGTCGGCGTGTCTGAGCTGGAAGGTTCTCTGCCATGATAGAGAGGGGCCCAGCTAACGTGTCGCTACCACCTTATTTTCCTCATTAAACATCCAATGCCGGTGAGTGGAGCCATTCATATCACTGATAAGTCATGAATATCGAACTTGATATTAATTCAACTTTTTTTTTTCCTGGAAAAACAGTTATGAAATCACTGTATATAGGAAACACACGGCCACAATTCCATCCGCTTCAAAATATAAGATTTAATTGAAGTATTTATTTTAGTATTAAATATAACCCTCAATCTTCTTTGTGTTCCTGCTCATTCAACATTTTTTACTCTAATTTCTCCAATTAATTTCACAATTCCTCTCAATCTTTTTTCCTTTTTTTCTCCCACATATCAATGCTCCCTCTCTCTTTGGGAATATTTTAGTGATCGTGGTACATCTTTACACAATAATAATAGACAATCAATTTCATTTAATATTTATAAATTAGTTAGTTAGATTTTATATTTAAGACTGAAGTGTGTAACAATCAATTTCATTTAATATTTATAAATTATTTAGTTAGATTTTATATTTAAGACTGAAGTGTTTAATAATTAATCTTCTTTCAATAGTATAATTTGGTCCAAGCTCTCCCTCCACACATGCATCATTGAAGTTCACATATGTTTGCCCTTTGTGCCTCCTTTCGCTATCCCAAAAATCGAAGGCACCCCTTTGTTGACTTGGCAAGCTAAGCGTGTCTCTAAATGCCGAATCAGCGTGCGTCACCAGCCTTTCTTCGATTTGCAACGGTATCTTTAGTATTTCAATGTTGAACAAGTTGGTGTACGTAGAATATACATTATACTATACGTGTACGAATAGTATGTGCTTTTGTTATAACATCACTTACTATTGCACATACGCATAAAATGAAATATTTTACATATAATATTCAGACGTACATGTCATGAATTATCTACCTGTATCCTGTAGATCCTAATAAATTAATTGATGTGGCCCAGTAAGAAATTACCCGCATTGTATGAATAGTTTGAAAATAGAGAGTGGTACAATAAATTAATAAGTGCAAATGAGTTGGTGATTGATATCAATTTATCATTTTGCTCGCACTAATCAATCAGAGCTGAGTGCTGATATAACCACCACTATTTATCTATGTAGTGGTTCATATATATAGTTGTAAACTACAAGTCCACAAGTAAGTAGCAGGATCAACATACACATCATATGATTTTCAATAAAGAGCACTCGGTTAAATTATACATAAACAGCAAAGACACTCACAAACGCGTCCATTTCAAGATAACTTCCCTTTCCCCACCACTTTATTACCACCATCAGTCCTGTGATTCCTCCCTCACTTCCACCACCCTCCCCCTCGTTATATAATTTTAATTGTGCCCTTTCCCAACACGACTCCATCGCTGCTTGTTCTCTTTCTTCTCAGCTTTCTCTCCCTCCACAGTACAGCTCACTCTCTCCTCCATTCGCCGCCGGCTCCAATGACCGACGCCAAGAATATAAAAGTGTGTGACCACCACAAGGATAAGCGCAGGAAGATCTTCCGCCGAATATTCGCGGGGATCCTCATCTTCCTGCTCATAGTTCTCGTCACCATACTCATAATCTGGGCAATTCTCCGTCCTTCCAAGCCCGCCTTCATCCTCCAAGACGTCACCGTTTACGCCTTCAACGCCTCCGTCCCCAACTTTCTCACCTCCAACTTCCAAGTCACGCTCTCTTCCCGGAATCCCAACGACAAGATCGGGATCTACTACGACCGTCTTGACGCCTACGTCAGCTACCAGAACCAGCAAATTACCTACCGCACATCGATCCCGCCCTCGTATCAGGGTCACGACGAGGTCGACGTCTGGTCGCCATTCGTCTACGGTACAAACGTGCCCGTGGCTCCCTTCAACTTCGTCACCCTGAGTCAGGATCAGTCCAACGGCAACGTCCTCGTCATCATCAAAATTGACGGACGCGTGAGATGGAAAGTCGGGGCCTTCATTTCCGGCCGTTACCACATCTACGTACGGTGCCCGGCGTTTATCACTTTCG